GTTAAAAGGTCTACTTTTCCAGAAAATAATCTCTCTTCAATGAAACTGCTGGCTGCAGGCCTAATAAAACTACTTAATGGGTCATACAATGAGAGATAAGAGAAAACCTGCTGACAATGTTCAAAAATAGAGTTTTACTGAAATGGAAAGAGCGCCCTGGGAGGGGAAAAAGGTTCTTTCTTCATATTTTCTATAAATGCTGTTTTCTGCAGACAGTTAGTAAAGTCAATCAACATATTTTCAATACATCGTGCCCCCCCTCCCCTCACCCCCAACACACACACACACACTAAACTCTCAAAAATACAGGACAATAGTGCATGAAATTGTGAACAGCAGACTTATCACCAATGTCAAATCCATCGAAGCTATATATGTTCAGGTGAATTACCTCAATATTTGAAGATATTGATAAAACAACAATGGTATTATTAAAGGGATAATAACTCTTCGTATGAAATCTGTATTTCACAATAAAAACATTGTGAGTGACTCATAAAAATATAATATATTCTGTTTTCCCACAAAAACAGCTGTTATAGCTATTATTCTGATATCTGAGCTTGTCTTTTGACCACGTGACCTCCATTGATGGCTATACTATGTTAAAATCTCTTAAGAGATTTTAACAAAAAACCAAACTTTTTAGAAAAAAAACAGGGACTAACTTTGAATGTAAAAATGGATTCATTAACCATTGGTAAGTATGGGAAAATTGTTGTTTACTCCAGGAAAATTCATTTTTTGGCCGAAACGAAGAGTTATTATCACTTTAAGATGGAGGATGGTGTATTCTATAGAAGGTTGATCAAATGCTATAGCAACTGTAACCTTTGTAAGACAACTTTGAAAAAGTGGACCAAATTTCGTTGATCACTTCCATCTTGTTCAAAAACAGCAAATAAATGTCAAAGTAAAAAACATGACACATTTATAAGTGCAATCTGTTGAAACTTGATATCACGAGAATAGAAAGCTAGAGGGGACTTAATTTGTGACAAGCGCCTGATATCACTACATAGTACCTCTGTCAAAGCGTCACCATGATCAGCTGATGAGATCCACATATACTATATTGTCGAGATCAGGGGTTCAATTCTCACACAAATCTCATTAACTGAACTAAATGTCAAATACTGTGGGAAAATGCTCAATTAGTAGAATTACACTACCATTCACAATTAAAATTTCACGCTTTTTGTAAACAACTCATAACTCCTCACCGTCTGATTTTGTGCTCTGCATTATCTCTGCTTCTTGTATTCCACTTGACGACGCTACATTATCTAATCTACTGAGGTTTTTTTACTCCAATTATTACATCTTGTGGCTGTAGAGGCTGGCACGCGGAAGATCAAAACTTCGCTTACTTACTGATTATTCGTCTGGATATCTGACTCACTCGAGAGGATTAGATTTCCGGATGTTGTGTAGCTCTTCTGAAATGAAGGTGCAAAATTGCAGGCACCTGTTGCCAGCGGGCACGTCCACGCGCTCTCCTGTCAATTTGATTGGTTAATGAATGACAACAAGAAAAGCATTTAATCCACCTGAAACAGAAAAGAATAAAAAATATATATAAGGCACTTCTAAATAAGTTGAGTAATTTTATATAGCCGTGCATCAACAGTGTAATAATTAGCTAATTTTTCACCACTTTTTACAGCCAAAGACCACCCATGACCATTCCATTTTTTTAAATATTTCACGAATTTTGACGTATACTCTACATATTGTAAAGTTTCATAAAATCCAATTCAATTTTTGTTTTGTGACATCAAATTCTGACAGAATCGAGTCTTACAAATGTCTTGTATAACAAATGAGAAACATTACATTTTATTAAGTGAAAAACACATGAACAATATTTTTAATTTTCATTTATTATCACAATAAACTCAAAAAATTGAGATTAAATTCGGTTTCCACAAGTGGCAAGTAATTTTCACAATAATAATTAAGATCTGAAAACCTCAATTTAATTTTCTGCTTTAAAAACTACAATATCTTATTAATAGATTTCTTTTAAAATGCACATAAAAAAAACATTGACTTCATTCACAGCTATAAATACAATCTAAAATATCTATCAAATGCACAAAACTGGCAGGAAAAATATGTCAGATGAACACTACAGAGAGGATGCTTGTTTGAACATTCAGAACCGGATACCATATTTTACAAATGACAACAGCTCTGAGATAACTGTAATAAATCAGAAAACAATAGTAAGTAATCCAATATAGGAGCTGGTTATAAATAACTATTAAATGCATGTATGATGTACACATATAAAAATACGAAGCACAAAATAAAATTTAATGTGTTTCACTAGGACACACTAAGTACTTGCTTCACCTTCCCCAACAAGAGTAATTCAATTTCACCATTTTAAAAAAATTAAAACGTATAATTATTTAAAACTAATTTTCAAATCCATAGCCTTTTCTCATACCAATAACAGCATGCCTAAAATATCAATCAAAATAAGTTTATCCAATGTGGACTTGAAAATAAAATTCACTAGGTATATTCTATTTAAGTGAACTTTAAACATATTTTCTGTTAGTTGGACAGTCTATACGGAGATCTGTATCAACTGAATAAAATATTTTTGAAACTAAAAAAATTAACAGTAACTTGCTAGCAAACAATATTTAACATCTGCTTTTATTGCACTCACCTCGTGGGATGAATTAAACAAACTTGACCTAATTCACTTTTCAGACCCTTTAAACAACCATTTTTATGCATTTCAAACATGTAAATACTTAAACAATAAAATCTGTCAGTTTTCAATTCTTTTGGCAATATCTTCATTGTTGATCCCCTTTAAGTTCAGTTTCGTTCAGGAATTGGGTGTATCCATATATCCTAGTATCCACTATTTGTAACTGATCTTAGGACCACAAAAAAAAAAAAAAAATATATATATATATATATAGAGAGAGAGAGAGAGAAAGAGAGAGAGAGAGAGAGAGAGAGAGAGAGAGATGAGTGAGAAGTCACAAGTGGTCCTAAGATCAGCCACAAGTATCTTGCAATTAAACTGGGGATTGGATGGAAAGGGGGAGGGGGGGGGGGGGGGTTTACAGCTGAATTTTTTTTCAAATCTATTATCACAGGCATATCGGTAGAATGTGAATGTGAAAATTTAACTTCACATTCCAATTCCATTTCTATAGCTTTTTTTCATTTAATCTACACAACTCTCAAGAACAGCCCTTCTCACCTTCAAGGAAGATAGATAATTAACATGTCTGATCTTTTGAATATTTCTATCTCCTTTTAATTATGAACTATGAATTATTTCTACTGTCCCTAGGGAGTCTTTACTTGCACACAATCCTTTTATGGTGAACAGAACTTTGACTGTTTCCTTGGTTTTGTAGGATGTCACCTTATCTTGTTGAGTCTGTTATGTTGTTTTGGCTTTAAATCTTATAATTCCTCCCACACAAATGCCATGGGTACTCACTGCCTCTGCTTCACAGCTGAGATACTCGAGCTCAACAAATATCACAACCTATCTGTATTCTGTAGTTTAGCACAACAATCCCCATTTCAAACATCAATGATCCTCATCCGAAGAAAAAAATCCAGAGGTTTCTTCATGTGGTTGGATACTGAATCTGAGCTTCATACTGTTCTTATAGGCCTGTCTCGCAAGACTTCTGATTTTCCTGCTAAAACTTTCTGGACTTTCCACCTCTGTGAGTGGGTTTGTACCTGAACTAAGGTGTCCTCTAGGACGCAGGTTGTAGTGCATAGTTGTACTAGGAATTGTATTCTGAAAGGTAGTATTAAGACAGTAAGAAATGTTAGGAATACACGCACAAAACGCTAATCTGGACACTGAAAAAATTTCTTAAGAAATAATCTGATAATATGTGAAAAGTTATAAATCAATAAACTCTTTATGTCCGAATTAATTAATAGACAAATTAATTAAGAAACAAACACATGGACAACAACCAAAAGAAGAAACAAATAAAATTTAATACAAATATACAATTCTAGAAATTTAAATGAAAAGATTCACGAATGGCAACTGTACTAGTATTGTATCTATTCAGATAGCAAAACATTTTAAAATTCACATTTCAAAACAATCTACAGATAAAAATTTTGAAAGTTCTGAAGCAAATTTTGATGAGGACATAATGGAAGTGTATATGACATGGCTATGATACTACAAATTATTTCTGAAAATTAATTTAAAAGTAAGGACATGGAGTACAACAGAGGGTCTGAACCCTGTAAGAGCACTATCACTATACTCCAGGTAAATCCTTTGTTAACACAGCCTGCAGGCAATTATCTAATTACTGTCCTCAGTGACCTCGGCTAAGGTCAAACGTGTCTGGACTGGTCAAGGAAGTGGTCAGTATTGGACCTGTCTAGACATGACCAAGTTCACCCCAGACAGGTCATGCTTACACAAGGACCATTTGGAAGCTGAAAAGCTTTTATGTGAGAGGGGAAACAAGGCACATGCCACCATGGTAAGTTAAAGGTTTGTGTCAATGAAATTGCTGTAAGGTTAAAGACAGTCTCAGTGGGTTAGATTAATGTACAGAAGCAAGTTCTATGTAAAACTTTGATCAGATTTGTATTTTGTGAGATTGTTTATTATTATATTAATAAGTCTGAGTCACAAAAGTCCTGTTAAGACAACTAGAATAAAGAATTAGAAAACGAAAACTATTTATCATGATTTCGGAGCACAGCCAGAAGTACTTCCGGCTCAAGGTCACGACCTCGATTTTCCCACGCTTACGACCAATCACAGCAGGCTTCAGTCAGAATGAGATAGACGTCACGACTACACAGCGAAACTTGTCAGAAATGTAAGTGCCGCCTGTCCATCTTTTCAGTACATGTACCGATCAAAAACAGAAAACGTAAAGCCCAAAACGCTCTTATACACGTAACCAACTTTGTATGAGCACAAATATTGTCATTTATTGTGAACAGGATAATATGATAATCAGACACACTTGAGACCTGTGNGAGGTTGGGTTTTGGAAAATGTCTCAAAATATTTATGGTTGGTCTAGACCTAACGCATGACCTTGACAATTCTCTGGACCATCAGAATTGAATTAAAATCACAGAATTACCACGGAGGAGAAACTTGTGTTTCATTAATATACATTTCCTTAAAATGGCAGCAACAACTTACTGTAAGTGATCTCCTGCCTTGAATAGCTGATTTGGGAGGCCTTCCTCTTCTTCTACTCGGGGCTGTAAATATAACATAGGTATTTGTAGTCTCCCGAGTCCTAACTAATATCATTATACCTTCCCCAGGGGTTGAGCCAAGATTTTGAAAAAGGCTGCCCAAATTACCTCAATTATAGTAAGGAGAGGGGGGGGTGGGGGTGGGGGGGGGTTTGAAATAGACCAAGAACAGATGTAAGTTCTTAAAATACTGAACATGAAAATAATATTAAACACTAAACATAGTATATCTATTAAGGATATTTAATAAGCTTCATCTCATCTTGCATATAACATTCTTATACTTTTACAAACACTTCAGATGGTGCCCTCATTGTTGAACAGCTGATACTTACAGGCTGAACTGGTGGAGACATCTGGTGTTGTTTCTCTAAACATCTCTCTGAATGGAGACTCCCGCATGAGATCCTGTAGTTCCTGTCTCAGCAATGGAGTGCTCTCTCTACTCTGTCTTGATAGTGAACTGTAGTAGCTGTCAGTGTCAGAATCACTGAAGTTATCCTGGTCAACATCATCTGGGGTGAAGGTGCGATCCGTGGCCGTGGTTACAGTGGAGTCTGTGTCTGAGTCTGAATCCGAGTCGTAACCTGCAAAACCACACAATACAGGTTTCTTCATCAAAACGATAAATTGCTAGTTCAGTGGAAAAACGTCAAAAGATGCAGATTTTTGATAGTCTTGTAAATACAAAGACTAACATCTACTTATTAACCCAGAATTAAAATGATGATTTTAAGTTATAAGGGCATGCTCATTGCACTTGCTGTCAAGTAAACTCTGACATACAGCTGATTTTCACTCTATCATGACTTCCTTTACTAGTAAAATCAGATGTGATAGCTTTCAGCAACAGCCAAATTGAATGTATTAAATCAAAATTTGTAAATTCAAAGTATTTCATGCCTCCCAGCTGCCCCAAACTGTCCGATGAACTGCTGCTCAAAAATATCCCTCCAGAACTGATCACAGATGGCGCTGAGGTCACAGCGACTGGGTTCACTGATGATGACATCACACCCCCTGTTGAATTAATTGATGTTACAATAGATCCTAATGAAGAGTGAGGAGATTGGAGAGCTGGCAGTGGGCTGTCATTATAATCAAAGCCTACATGATTAGTGGGACCTGCCAAAATGAAATAATAGTATTATTAGTTTCACAAATCTCAGTTGAAATTTTCATTTTCTGTTCAGTACAAATTGGCTTCATTAAAAATTCATTAACATTTATCTTGATAACTATCCTCACGTTTTTAGACCTCAATTCAGTCCTGCCTTAACCTCTTCTAAATTCAAATCTATTCAGAATACAGGATATTTAAAAGCATTTACCAGGGTGCAAATGCACTGGCTTACTAGCAAGTACTTAATTTGCATCCTGACAACTTAGGTTAATGATTTCCCTTAAGTGCAAAGAATCTCAACATGTAAATAATCTTTTTAAGGGCATATCTACATGATTATTAAATAAATTAATTATTAAATATGTCATAAATCTATGGTTATAACCATGGTGCCTTATGTTTAAAATACCATACATACTCAAAGTTTGAACAAAGTGCTTTAAATCAGAATTCTGTTTCTTTATTTCCAGTAGGAGTTGGTTGTTTATCTTGTTGTAGTCCCTGTACCTATACCAGCACACACCAAGGATGCCCAGAGCAGCAGTGCAGAAGATTTTCCTACACATCCACAAACGACTGTAGACAGTAGTCTAAAAGTAAATAAAAATAGTATGGATGTTAACAAATTACATAGTGGATTGGTGTGCATTGTACAAGTTAAATTAATAAACATTCTGATATAGTAATAAATTTGGTGAAAAATGTCCCCACACTTTTTAATTTTTACTGAACAAGCCTACTATTAGATCTTCTAGCTATCAAGTAAAATCTCTTATACAGAAGCCAGCGGTTTCTAATTCTTTACAGCACTTGTTTTTCCAAATCCTTTTTCCTCAGAGAGCACTCACACTGGCATCCCAGATCACACTGTTAAGTACTTTAGGGTCCTCTCCACTGTAGAAGACCACAAGTCTCTCAAATACCATATTGGTGGTCATGGTCAGAAACAGCCAGAATCTGGCTCCACTTGACCGTGGAGTGGACGTGATCAGATAGGAGATTATGATGGTCAGGGCATAAAATATCAGGGAATAGAAACCTGTGAATTCCCCTAGGACCACACTCTGAAGTCGACTGACCCTGTCAAACACCTCCCCAATCATCGCACGCTGTTCATGCGTGGACTTTTGAAAATCTTGAAGAAGACTGCGCACATTGCCAGAGGATGTTTCGATAGTCTTCCCTAAGGTTTCACCTTGTAGCAACAAGTTTTGCTGATTTTCCAAAGCTTCCTTTTGTCGACTGATTATCTCAGACTGTATTTCGTTAGACTCTTGCAGCTGCTTTGCTACGGTTTTTGAAGTATCGGCCAGGTTAGAGATGGTCCTATCTGTATCTTCCTGCCAAACCTGGCTTTGCAGAAAGAAACATATGTTCTGCGTGTGTGTGAAAAAGTTTGTGTATGCAGAGAAAGCAGAGTCGTCCATCTGCTTGGTGCATTTTTCCAGCTCATCATCATCCGAGCAATGGTAAGTTGGCCTCCCACTTTTTTCCAGAAAACAGTTTGTAAACTTTGCGGCAAGCCGATGCTGAACTTCGTCCGTGAGTTTTTTACAGCCAGTTTCTAGGGCAGTCAGCGCTTCTTTCCAACACTGTCCATATCGAGGCCTTGTGGTCTCAGATTTGATCATATTATACTCTCTCCGACCATCTTCGAGCATTTGGTTTTCTGATTCCTTTGACGAAGGAGTTGCTTCGAAACCCAAGCAACATTGTAATACAGTAAGTACACTTAGAGCACAGTATAAGACTTTAAACTTAAAATACGTCATCTCTGTCAATGTCTCTTGTTTATCATTTAATATGATCTATCTGAATTACTTTCTAATTTGACAAATGGAGCCGTAAGTTGCTACCTATACCAAGTACCACGTCAAGCCTGCCGCCATGAAATTGGTTTCGGAATTTGTGCACGCATGAGTAGCAACTTTAACCCAATCAAATGCGAGATACACTCTTGCTCCGTAGATAATATTGACCCATTTATTTATTAGCCGGAAGTGGGATGTAACTTTGACAAGTGTGGACAAAACAACAGTGGAATGGCGACATCAGCGTGCTCTACCGCAAACTTACAGTTTGCGCCTTTTAGCAGTGCACTTGATGCAGGATTCTGGCACAAACTTTCAGAAAATAAGCTTGACGTGTACGGCTTAGATGATAAGCCAAGAAAGATTCACGGTTTTTATTTCAATGGTTCGTCTGCTTTTCACTTTATCATAATCTTTTTGAGATAACACAACGGTTTTCGATATATTTCTCTAATTTTAAAAAAAGTGTTTGCTGTCTCATTTTTATATATTTTGAATTTTTACTGAAAAGAATAATGAAGTGGTAACATGGATTCGTCCTTGATTTCTGTCTGTGCTGAATATAGTGATGGAGGTTGAAACCAAAAATGAAAAATGTAAATAATGATTTAACCGTGTTGTGATCACTATATTTTAGGAGATGCAGTTGGCATACCATGTCGTCTGAATGTAGACTATACAGCCTTCAATGAGTAAGTGGGGCCAAACAAAAGAAACTTGTTACATTTGCATATGTGTATTTCAAAATTATGAAGGGTTAGCTAGTGCATGTATCTGTCTGGTAATTTTATGTTGTTTTTTAATACCTTTTTGAAAGTTTACGATATTGCTTAGTGGTACTTTTAATTGAGAATTAGTCTGTTTAGAAGGGAATGAATCTGTTTTATTTGTCCCTGGGATACATGTGCTACACTAATTTGTCAGTAGGTCTGCCTCTCTCATGATTTTTTTTGGTAGGCAAGTACTATATGAAACCTTGCTAGAAGGGCTGTAAATTGTTGCTCCTATTTAAGATAATCAGTGATTATGTATATATTTAATGATGAAACATCTTTTCACAACAGTGATCAATTTAAAAAATAATGTTTTTTCCTGTTATTGCAGAATTCCCCAAATTCCTCCCAACTATTTCCTTTCTCATGGCATACTCCAGAACAAAAACACCATTGATGCTTTCAAAAGTTGTGATAAGAAGGAGCTACTCAATGATATCGCACATGAGGTAAGTCCCTGAGTCATGGTGTTTTGGTCTCACGCAGTGATGAAAATTCTTTCAACCAATGATGGGATAACATGTCCCAAATCAAAATTTAAATGTTATCTGTTGAAACAGTAAATATATATATATATATATATATATATATATATATATATATATATAAGGTCGCACAAAACATTTTCAAAATATTTGATTTACAGCCATTGTAATTTGCTCACAATGCAGTGTTTACACATTCAGTCTACCACATGGATTTGTGATACATTTCTCAACAGCAAGGTCAGATTAAGTTTCTGTATGCTGCTTATAACAGATAGTGGCAGCATCTACATTGTATGTAGATTTGAACGTAACTGATTGTATTATATATTCCCAATTGTTATTATGGTTTGTGATAAATAACATTTTGATTAATCAGTAAATTTTGGTTTTTGAAGTCATATTTTTTGTTTGTTTTAACTTGTTTAAATAGCTTAAAATTTGAGATAAAGATTGGGCATATTGAGGTGTTAGGAATTTGTGCATAATTACAGCATACTCCTCTGGTAAAATAAAGACCAAGCATTGGTTATTTTTATAGCCAGGTGCTTTGAAGTTAATTACCACTCACTATGTATTGGAATTATTACTTATTGTACTAACATTTTCTAATACTATCCACATTTCCATGTCCATCTTGGAAAATAGAAATATAAAACTGGTAATTTTGGAGGGAAAAAACAACTGCTGCACCCCACCAATTTCATTTTAAGATTAACAAAAGTGTTATAAAGTTCTAGGATCAATATTTACAAATAATAAAGTGTTTTTTCTGTTTAGTTATGGTTGGACATCACCAGTGGTAAAGCTATAGATGACCCTACTTTGCTTTCAAAATTCCTGATGCTGACTTATGCAGTGAGTATTTGTGTTAGACCACATTCCTTCAGTCCATGTTGATCGACCCAACATTGCAGTACTCTCACTAAGTACAATCAGTGTTACTGAATGACATGCCTCCTCTTGTTACATGTACCAACATGCTCGTATAATCACCAGTTTTTCTGTATTTTACTTAATCCAAGGAGAAGGCACTGATTACAGTCAGCGAGAGTCCTTGCAGAGTTGGGTCGATCCACACAGACCAATGGTGTCTGTAGGAATTGGGCCTTATTGTGCTGGTTAATCTTATCCCTGTCCTAGATTATTTAAATGTTATCGTTCATTGCACCAGCTGTTACTGGTGTTTATAAACATTGTGCTAGATGAGATAAATGTGATATTGTGCTAGTAGAATTTATATACATAGTATTACTTCTGAATCACTGATTAATATATCTCTATTTTATGAATTGGATTTCTTTTTTTAAAGTGCCCCATCTTTATTTGTTTCAGGACTTAAAAAAGTACCACTACTATTACTGGTTTACCTTCCCTGCACTGTGTGCACCTGAAACATTCCCATTAACAAAGAAACCAATCAGATTTAGTGAGAGATTTACAGAAGAACAGGTTTTATTTTTGTTTTCAACCTTCGTTGCTCTTTTTTGTGATTTAATAATGCATGGATTATTTGAACAGCATCATATTTCTTAAAATTTTTAAGTGCCTAAAGCTGTCAAAAATTTTTTTTCTTATTTTTTATATATTTTATTTTTTCAAGATTTGTCATTTTCATACATGATGAACAGCAATGAATTCTCTGACGTAAAGCTCACCAAATTTTCAATGTTGATGTAACTTATAAATATATTCTGTAGAACGTGAGAAGTGTTTATAAAATATTTTTTCTCTCAGACAAACGCATTCTTGGCTGCATACACTCAGTTCCAAGAATCCACCAGGGGGCAGCGTGGGGTCAAGACAGGCTACTTCATCCTTCAGGAAACTCAAACAGGGTTACAGGTGGCAAACCTGAAGGATGCTGACAGGCTTTTATCTGACCCACAGGGAAAAGTAGGCATCATGAAGCATACTATCAATGAAAATAATATTGTTTTTATCCGCACCCACAGGGGAGCCCTAAAAATTAATATTGGCAGCCTGTGAATAATACTGACACATGAACTAAAAATATTTTTTGCTTGTAAGGCATCATCACAACTCCTCATCATGAAGCATTACTATAATATCATTTTGAAAGTTATCTTCTTGATTTTGTCCATGGTCACAGAGCAACCCTAAAAATTAACAACTGTGTCTTTTTATTAAATATAGAACAAAATCACTGAATCTTAGATCTGTCAATATTTAACTGTTCACTGTATGCTTAAGGATTCTTTGATTTATTTAGTACCATTAGTATATAGCAATTTTGCTTTCTTTTTTTTCAGTGGTACATGTACTTAAAAATTAAGGTTTATCTTTATAATATGCAGTGGTTTGCTGAGGATGAACATATCAGAAAGATTTCTTACTACTTCCTAGCTCATTTTACAATTTGTCGCTTATTATTATTATTTATTTATTTTTTTTTTTTGTTGTCCCTCAGGTGTTATTTTGTGTGTGTGACCCCAGTACCCTAGCAGAACACCCTGGTTGGCCTGTCAGAAACCTGCTCACCCTTATAGCTTATCACTGGTAGGTTGCTAGGGTAAAGCTGACGATAATTAGTACATGCACTGTTTGAACATTTTGTATGTCTGAAGATAATTAACATATTATTGAATAAAAATGTTAATTAACTGTTTAATGTTTCTACTAAAAAGTGATTTAGAATTTGTTTGAGTCCATTTAGAATGGCTTAAAAATCTGAATAAATATGGATAAAACAGACTTTATGTATAAAAGATATATTGATAAATAAATAAATGCCTTAAATACAATACTCTTAGGGCAAAACTATTAGAATTGTAAATATCTGCTTTATGTAAAGAAAGTTCAAGTCAGAAGAAATTGGAACTTAAAGACAAATATGTATACTTTGGCACTTGTATATTAGAATTATGATCAATGGAGGTGTCTTCTGTATTTCAGGGCTGATAAGTTGCCAGAGGTAGAGATAGTGTCATTTAGAGACAGGATAAGCCAGGGTTCCAGGGACATCAGTCACAGTCTGGTCTTTACTGTTCAGCTGCAGTCTCTATCAAACTTGACAGGTACTTATATTTATATGCAGAGTTAATATTATGGTAAATCAAATCCAAAATTAATGTGTAGCATGGTCTGATCTATGGGTGAATCCAGGTTCATTCAGTCCCAAGTCTGGTACTTGAGTAGGCCTGAGAAGCTGTGGATGTTAATTATAAAGATAAGCATTTTTGGGATTTTCAAACCCATGAAGTGTACCTTTAAATGAATTCATCCAGACAGTTTGGGAATGTTGTTGAATTGTTTCAGAGTGTCCAAAGTGTGTGGGTTGGGAGAAGAATGCCAAGGGAAAGTTGGTTCCAAGAATGGTGGACCTCAGTGCTACCATGGACCCTGTCAAGTGAGTTTACAATATGTCTGTGCATTGGCTGGTACATACATGTAGATCAGTATACTTTTAAAACTTTAACATTAGAAATGTACAAATTGAGAAATCAGCACAATGACCACAGTTGGATTCAGTGATGCATTGGCTTGCAAAGGTTCTGAATCAGTAGCAAAATGTCTACTTCCAGAAAGTAGGACCTTTACAGTTTTTGTAACTAATATTTATAGTCTATCCATGGAAGTTTATGTACATAATCTTCCATGGAATATCATAGCTGTTTTATGGTTATAAGCATAAGCACCCTGTCTTTCACTTTTAATGTTCTTTCTGTATTGAACATAAAAGCATGCTTAAAAATGAAAGGAAAATGAATGAAAAGGATGAACAGATCACTCTGCCTTTCATTCAGGGTACAATAATCATATTCAATTTTGCAGCAATAATGTAATTTATTTAGATTTTTAGCTGTCTGTCAGTGTGAGTTAATTGTAAGTTTGGCTTAGTGAAAACAAGTTTTTAAAAAATCTTTACCACGTTTCTTTGATTATTATAATTTTGACAGGTTGTCAGAGTCGTCAGTCGACTTAAACCTGAAGCTAATGAGGTGGAGACTGCTACCAGAGTTAGACCTGGAGAAGATAACGAGGACGAGATGTCTGCTCCTGGGGGCCGGGACATTAGGGTGCAATGTGGCTAGATCATTACTGGTAAGACCTGCTGATATCTGCCAAGACACAGAATGACTAGTGTCACTTTCGATGATATAAGATTGTTTATAGCTGCTGTTGTCATGGTAGTATTAGTATGCTGTTATTTAGTACTTAATATGTATACACTTTTAAGGGGTCAACGTAGAATGTGATTGTGTATGTGTGTGTGTGTTTTTTTTTTATATATAATGTTTATTTATTTATTTATTTGTTTATTTTTGCTTGGAGGTAAGGCAGTAAATTCTTAATCAAGCGAATCACAATATTTGTACATGACAAGCTGAATTATTGATAGATATAATTATGTTTTTCCAGGGATGGGGAGTTAGGAAAATCACGTTTGTGGACAATTCAAGAATATCCTATTCCAACCCAGTGAGGCAGTCACTGTTTGTATTTGAGGATTGCCTACATGGAGGCAAAGCCAAGGCTGAGGCAGCGGCCGAGTCACTGAGGAGGATATTCCCAGGGGTGGTGGGTAGCTTAATTGTAGCAGAATTGTATTCCAAATTTGTTGATAAGATAATAATATAATGATATTTGATGTGATGTGATATGTGACGAGATAAAATGATATCATTCGATACAGTAGATATGAAATGATATGATATGATATGTTAGACTATAATAATAATAATAATCTTTATTGGAGAATTGCAGCCCGAAGGTTGAAGTTATACAAGTATGTTATACAATTATATATGAATATTCAAGTGAAGGAAGCCTGGTCATTTTTGCACTGGTGCACTTCGTAGACGGTCTCACCTCCCTTGGGAGCATACAGCTCGGCTGCCATATTAGGCGCTCATAGCTAATATATCATTTCTGCACTGCCTGACCAGACTATGATATGATAAAATGTGATGCAATATGCTATGCTATAACATGATATGATATTTCAGTTACCAAAAAATTTCTCTTTCAGGATGCTCAGGGACACTCACTGACCATCCCCATGCCTGGGCACCCTCTATCAGGTAGGAAAAAAATTACATGAATTTTACATTATATTAATATATACAGACTGAAAGTTGTACAGTATAGGCAGATGGACAGACACAGTTTTGGTGGATGACAACATGACCTTATTTTTCTTGTCACTGATACAAATTATGTACTGCTAGTATCATATGAAGTATGAAATACTCTGCAGTTTTTATTCTTTATCTTGATGTTTTTATGTTATAAATTTGTATTTTATAAAGAAATGGAGCGCAGATGATAGATTTTAATAAAATTGATAACTTTTATCTAATGGTTTATTAGTAATACTCAAATAACAGGAATCCAAAGTTGACTCGATTAAAAAAAAATGAGCCTAAGAATATTTTGTTAGAAAATTATTACCATATTAATATAATAATAATTCTTCTGAAAATTGAAATAAGTAAGGTGTTAGAAATTTGTGACTTCCACACTGCAAATACACCCTATGTACATTCCACAGAGAGCAGTATTGAGCAGACCAGGAAGGATGTGGCAGTACTGGAGGAGCTGGTGGACCAGCATGATGTGATATTTCTACTGATGGACACCAGAGAAAGCAGGTGGTTGCCCACATTACTGGGGGCTGCCAAGGGAAAGGTGAGGCCACTCGGGCTAATGTGTTCATATACAGTATATATAAAGAGATATATATGGTGACATGATGTAATATTTTTACTGATGGACACCAGAGAAAGCAGGTGGTTGCCCACATTACTGGGGGCTGCCAAGGGAAAGGTGAGGACACTCAGGTTATGTACATCTACAGTTTACATAAAATATATAATGGTTACTGTAATGACTGAATTTTTACATAATTTTAAAGTCATTAAAATATGATTTTTTAAACTATGTAGAATTTGTGGTGCTTTTACTGTATACAATAGATCTGTAAGGTAGCCTTCTTTTCAGTTTTGTTGCTGCCACTAAATAGGATTTTTTTACATCTAAGAATTAAGGACTTTAAATTATACAGTATCTGTAAAATTCACAATAATTGTTGCCACTGAAAAGATCAAATCATTACTATGTAACTACTACATGTAGTATACTGTAGCAGCTGCTGTATTGGGAAATAGATATGCTAGCTAGTACATGATTGTCCAAGTATCATATGGGGTGAATATTTTGTATCACACTTGTATTTATTTATCAGTCAGTTTTGAGATGTTTGAATAATTTAGCCTTATAAGTTGTAATAAAACATGAATATAATTCAAATAATTATTATTTTGCTTAATAAATTATTTTAAGTCATGAAATACAGTATTGCATTTTTATTATTTTCACACCAGATTGTATTGAATGCAGCCCTGGGTTTTGATACCTTTCTGGTAGTCAGACATGGAGTAAAGATGCCAGGAGAACCAATGGACACAGGGCCGCCAGGAGAGGCAAAATTAAGCTCCAATGTACATGGAAGTCAACTGGGATGCTACTTCTGTAATGATGTCGTTGCACCAGGAGATGTAGGTCACTTGTGTGATTAGTAATTTTGTCCATGTACAAAGAAAATTAAATTGATGTTGGTCATTCAGAATGACTAGTTTGTTTTGTGACAAAGTCAGCTGGCATGCTGATACTGTAATGATTTGTGGTGCTTACACCTTTTAGATTATGTTCTTTTAAAAAATGTACTGATGAAGGCACTATTAAAATTTTTCATTTTTTTTTTCATTTATAACTGACCATATGTGCAAGTGTGTAAATATCAAACTACTTTAAATGCAATCAGACAAGCACTGATCAGAAACAAAAAACATTTTCTTCGACCTTTAACATCAAAACCTAGTTTTAGACTTTATCATTTTAGAGATGTGAATTCTATAGATCAGTATATATAGTAGCTATCTTCTATCTTCTTTATATCCCAGTCCACCAGAGATCGCACCCTTGACCAGCAGTGTACTGTGTCCAGGCCGGGGATGTCCATGATTACAGCTGCACTGGCTGTAGAACTGCTGGTGTCCATACTACAGCACCCTGAGGAGGGCGGGGCACCTGCTGATACCAGTGCTAGAGATGAACATATCACTAAGGACATGATGTCTATACTGGGCCTTGTGCCCCACCAGGTATACATGAACACTTCTCAGGCCTGTAGCCAGGGTGGGATTGGGGGGGGGGGGGGGGGAACAAACTGCCCTTTTCTCCAGGAAGAGGTCCTCACTTGGTAAAATTTGATCTAGGTACAGAACAGTTTCATGGCAAAAGGTGCACTTTTTCAGAAGAGCCCCCTCTTTGAAATTGCTGGCTATGGGCCTGCCACTACGTAGTACTGGCAGGTATAACTGCCATTATTCATTATATACAATACATTCATCACCAGTTGAAGAAAGGGGAGCTTGCTCAAGACAAGAGATGAAGTCAGAAATAAGTGATTATAATATTTCTTCAGTCAATAGCTCATATTGAAATTGTCATTTACCCCCAATATTTGATGAAGACATGTTAACATAGATTGCCTGTATTTTTTTTTTCTTTGTAATATGCATTTTACTTCTTTTGAGTTTCAGGTGTGACTGTTTATTTTTATTATAATATTTTTTTAAGCCAAGAAAGTGTTAGAAAAATCTGTAATAAAACTTAAACATCTTTTAACTTTTTGAGTATTTGCATGTTTTGACCTTCAGATTCGTGGATTTCTGTCAAGATACTACAACCTTTTGCCAGCTAGCAGGGCCTTTGAGAAGTGTACAGCATGCTCAAGTATAGTGAGTATTGGACCCATATTTGCTCATTGTTATAACAGGGATTGTATAATTTTTTGTATTATTTTGTGAAACCTTCTCTTTTATGTATGAAATAAAGTTAAGAAAGCTGTTGGACTTTGTGTGAAATGTTGAAAAACATGATTTCAGAGGAGGGTGATGTATATCCTCTCTTATCTAGCATTTCTTTCCCAGATTTTGAACAATGATAATTGTCACAAACAACTGTTGATTATTTTTCACAAATCTGAGTAATGCAATGAGAATAATTCAATTACGTTTTCATATTGTATTTTCTCAACTGTTTTGCCACATTATAGGTTATTGAGCACTATAGAAAAGAAGGATTTGGCTTTCTGCTGAGTGCTTTCAACCAGCCCAGTTATCTGGAGGACCTCACAGGACTGACACAGCTACACCAGGAAACCCTGGACTCTGAGGTGGGTTTATATATCAAGCCAGGGGGTTCGAAGGAACCACCCTTTTTGCTGGGAAAGGTCCACTGTAAATTTTTATCTAGGTACACGAAGATCATGTGGTAAAAGGTCCACTTTTTCAGAAAAAGAACCCACTCTTTGGAATTCCAAACTTTTACTATTAGAAAAGTTTTACACTGTACTTATTTAGGGTTGCCTACTGTACTAGTATGCATTTAGAATACTCCATTGTTAGTGGCTTTTCCGATACATTTTGGGTATTATTCTGTTGTGAAGTATTAACAAGGTTGTGAAATGGCTTATTTCACAAATCACTATGATATAAACATACAAAACATGTTAGTTAAGCTCACTAATAACAATATGACCTATGGTGAATTGGGGTTTTCATTGTCTCCTGTAGAAAGATTGTACAGTGGAAAATTGTTCTTAAGAAACAAAATATGTTTTTTATCTGTAAGGCAAAACAGTTCTTCTTGCCTTATCTGTAAAAAACATTATTTTGTCTCTCTATTCACTATTTACTTTTCTATCAAATATGTGTACCAGATATTGTGTGATATGGATTGACCTTTGAATAAAATCTTTATTGCAATATTGCAACCCGAAGGTTGAATATATTTATATATATATTTAATCAATATATATTTAATCAAATTAATACAAGTCAAAGAAGCCTGGTCAGGATACCTTACTAAAGATTAAGATAAAGATATAAAATATATATTGTTACAGAAGGCATTGTGTCACTTGAGCTATTGAATCATTGACAACATTGTGTTAGGTGAGCTTTCTAATGGCTGTATTGTGTTTTCAGGTGTGGGCCATCAGTGATGATGATGAAAGCATGTAACCCAAAGGGAAGAACATCAGACATAAATAAAAGAAGATTTTAACAACTCAACACAAGCACATAGCAAGGTCCATCAGTTATTCAGTCCATATTGATGGATATGCATTGTTTCCTATGAAATAATCATCAAAACTAGGTTGAATTAATGGTCCACTTGGAAAGACAGGAGCATGTCGACAGTCTGAAGCTTTATTTACCAAAATTTTCATCTTTTTTTTCACTACATATTCACAGATGTGTCTCTGGCTTATTCATTACAGAAAAATGCACTTAATAATAATATTTACCTAGGGCCCTGGTAGAGTGTGGGCATACTCCCTGTATTTTCATTTTTGTCTCATCTTCTTTATGCCTCCGATGAACATAATTTTATTCCCAGTACACTATACACTTTGCTCATACATTCGGACTATCAAACTGTCAGGCTATTAAACCTTCAGACAATCAAACCTTCAGACCAGCGAGCCTTCGGACTATTGCTATTGTCCAAGACAGCCTGTGTAAGTGACCTAAGAGCAAAGATTTCAGTGACTTGACCTGTTGAACTGACAAAGCCAGGACATCACACGGGAGGTACCCTAGGTTCAAGATTTCAGATTTTCCAGCTTGATCTTGATTTTATAATTATATAGCCCATGTCAGCAAAGCTGACTTTAGAAACTATATGGGGGGGGGGGGGGGGGGGGGGGCAAAATTTTGCCTGGGGCGCTTCCATTCTTGGTAGTGACAATTAAGACTCGTTCATCACAGCTGTGTCAGCCTGTAGCCATATTTGGAAGTCACAAGTTTCGTACGTCACAGCTCTGTCCCACCTGGAGCTGACATTATCTCGTGCAGATGAGACAAGACACAAAGTGGCTGACGCAGAGTTTGAAGTTTGAATTAAGAATATCAAATATTTGCAATCAAAAGACATTGCCACATTCTAACTTTCTGCTTTAAAAACTGATTTTTGGTGTAGGCGTTGCATTATAGTGGTATCGGACATACAATGCAGCTGTCAAACTTGGCACACAGCAAGCACGTGTATTGTGTTCATATCTCCAGGAGCAAATGTCTTTTGATAAGCAAAAAATACATCTTGTATATCTTTTTCTTTTAAAAGAAATTATTTATTTTTCAATTTACATCTTGTATATAGTAAGTAAAATGAAATAAAGCAAAATTAAATGTTTTAATTTTCATTTTGGACTAATGACATTCAACTGCAGATTCACTGCGGAGCAGTTTTTTTTTTTTTTTTTATTGACAGATACTCGACACTGTTCCTCAGGTCTACAGTAAAGCTGTCCCATGAAAGGTTTGAAAAGTGAGCAAGCTAGCTTTACAGTGGCCCTGACACTCAGGGCAATGGAAGGGGACATCAGTCATCCACCAGTGCCACTTTATATACTTTTGGTTGGAATGAAAAAAAAAGTTCTACTTTGTGCATATTTATTAATTCCTACTATATAAACTTTGTATTACTAAGAATACAGGTAATCTGTGCTGTTATCCACTTCATGTAGTACTTGAGTGAGTATTACTTGCCTGGAAAAGCATTACTAAATTGAGAGGGCGATACTGGCCTGAGATGGCATCTAGTCGGCCTGAGGGGACACTGCTGTTTATATATGCCAATATTGTAAACCAAACATGGCTGCCACACTAGGTTGCCGACTTACCCCTGGTTGCCGATCTAGAAAACTCAGCTGTTACTTACTCAGTTCATTGAAACATCGCTATCAAAGGCCCTGGTGTATGTAATGTGGTCCAAGTAATCCAAATATTACAGTAATCTAACGAAAACATGGAGTATTAGTAGTTTACAATGAGGTTTTCGCCGAGCAACTCTTGGTTTTCGCAGTTTTCGTATTTTCGGAGGACCACTATAAACATACACAGGCTACATCTGCATTTGGGTCCTTCCCAAAGCCTTAAAAGTGATTTAAACTAATTCGAATTGATCCTTTGATTTAAGTCATTTGAGAGATCATTCCATACTTTTGGCCCAAGATATGACAAGGATTTTTTGCCGTATGTCATTGTGTTAAATCTGGGTTTATTTAGAGTCTTTTCTCCTCTTATAAGGTTGTACAGTAACTTGTTATTCTTTCCAGGAAAAGGTCGGAGATGTAATTGTAATGAAGGTAAAATAAATGTTATTCTAAGGAATTCCGATGGTTTTACTTTTTAAAACAAAATCAATAGAACATTTCTAATATAAATTTCCAAAAAGACACCAGAGAGCACATGAAATAAAATCAACTACACGGTAAACAGCCATGATGCTGCCTCGAACCCGGCAATCTAGGTCAGAAACGGCAAAGCAGGGCAGTTGTTAATAGATGGCGCAGCAGTAGAATATAGAGGGCATTGAGTTTTTTGGGGCAAAGATGAAAGATCGCCTTCGTCGGGGTCAACAATTGCATTATTATGCATCTATTTACATTTTTCTTTTTTACCTACACATTTTGGAAATATTTTGCTCCTTGTTTATATCGACTTATATAGATATTATAAAGATATAAATTAAAGCGATTAAAAAAAAAAAAGAAAAATGTTATCTTGAATTTTTGCAAGGGTTTAAATCTATAAATATGTTTTCAGACTTTTTAAATAAAAAATAATTATGCTTTTTCCTACATCTCTCTCTCTCTCTCTCTCTCTCTCTCTCTCTCTCTCTCACACACACACACACACACACACACACACACACACACACACAC